GTTTTTTGAGAACTGTCAGTTAACTTGTTACTGAAGCATGACCTTGATAGTTTGGGCTCTGGAGTTACAGGACTGGAGGGTAGGTAACAATCCTAGTCTTTGATAACTATTTTAGAAGAAAATCATTGAGAAAGGGTTAAGAAAGTTGATAGTACACCTATCATCTTTCAATCATGAAGAGGTCACATAACTGTCTTACTAAAAATTTACACAGACTACAAACGTGAGATTCACAACTATGACAAAATGAGACGACCGTTGAGTGCCATTTTGTTATTTGGCTAAGGAGAAAATTAGCAAGATCATCTAGTCATGTATAAAATAGCAAAGGTCATCTCTCTTGTTTAAACCAAGTATCTGCCACATCTGTTTTTTATAGATTTACCTTTGCTGTAATCAACCACTACATAAAATACAAGGCAACAGGATGTTTCCTTATATCATTCAAACTATACCAAATTCTTATATCCTTGGATTAATTTTCTCTGGTCATGTTAGCAAAATAGATATCTTGTAAGAGACAAGAAGGAAACAGGGACTTTTAAACACAACAGAATAAACACACATGAACTCACGTAGATAGCGGCAGCATAAACTGGGTCTGCACTGGGGATAATAGATAGCCTGTGCAGAGAGGAGAAGTGAGTGGACACAAACCAGAATCCCTAACACAGCTATCTCCAACTGATAACCACCTGCAAATGAAAAACTAGTTCTCTCTAACAGAGTCTCAGGGGGATATAAAACTCTTTTAAAGGCATACCCCATGGCCAGCAGTAGATGGCATGACAAAATCATTTCAGTGCCATGTTCCAAAGTTCCTTGTCTGATAATGTTTGGCCAGGCAGTTTTTTTATTTTTTTTTTCAAAAATTACATGCCCGCTGGATTTACATTATGGCTTCCAGTTTTATGTTTTTAAGGGATTCCTGCATTATGAATATTTGTGTCTCTGCTATATATGTGTATATGTGTTTCTTGGGCTCTTTTAGGCTCTTCTCTTTGTTTGTTGTCTTCTATTTTGGTGATTTTACTTGTTTTTTTTTATTTAATATTCTTTAAATTCCTGTTCTCAAAGGAAAGAGGAAGGGTGTGTACTCAGATTAAAAGGGAGGTAGAGAGGGTCTTGGAGGAGTTTGGGGATGGGAAATAATAATCGGAATATATTACATGAAAATAATCTATTTAGAATAAAAGAAAAATAGAGGAAAGAAACATATGAAAGTTGATCAAATTCTAAAAATAAATGCATAAATGTTTAATAATATTTGATACTTATCATCTGATGAAGTATATTTTTCTTGATTCTACATTTTTATGAAAAATATTTAGGACTTGAGCTTTCTTTTTTTT